AGGGGGAAAAAGAGAAGCGGAGAGGAAACAGGAGGGGAAGGAAGCAGGAGGAAGAGAAAAGGGAAAAAGAAGCAGGGGAAGAGAAACAGGAGGAAAGAAAAGGGGAAAAAAAGGAAAAAGAAACAGGAGGGAGAAGCAGGAGGAAGAGAAGCGGGGGAAGGAAGGGAGGAAGAGGGGCAGGGGAAGAGAACAGGGGGAAAGGGAAAAGGAAAAGGGAAAGGGGGAAAAGCAGGGAAGGAAAAGGGGGAAGAGAACAGGGGGAAAAGAAACAGAGGAAGAAAAGCGGAGGAAAAAGAAACAGGGGAAGAGAAGCAGGGGGAAGAGAACAGGAGGAAAGAAGCAGGGGAGGCAAGGAAAAAGCGGAGGAAAAAGAGCAGGGGAGGAAGAAGAAAAGGGGGGGGGGCAGGAAAAGGGAAGGGGGAAAGAAGCAGGGGGAAGAGAAACAGGGGGAAGAGAAGCAGGAGGAAGAGAAAAGGGGGGAAAGGAGCAGGAGGAGAAAGCAGGGGGAAGAGGGGGGGAGGAAAGAAGCGGGGGAAAGGAGCAGGAGGAAAAGAAGCAGGGGAAAAGGGAAACAGGGGGAGGAAGAGGAAGGGAGGGAAAAGCGGAGGAAAGAAACGGAGAAAAGAAACAGGAGGAAGAGAAGCAGGAGGAGAGGGCAGGGGAAGAGAAATAGGAGGAAGCGGGGAAAGGGGGAGGGGAAGAGAGCAGGAGGAAGAGGAGCAGGGGGAAGAGAAGCGGAGGAAAAGAAGCGGAGGAAAGAGGAGGGAAAAAAGGAGGGGGAAAAGAAGCAGGAGGAAGAGAACAGGAGGGAAAGAAGCAAGGGAAAAGAAGAGGGAACGGAAGAGAACAGGAGGAAGAGAAGCAGGGGGAAAAAAGCAGGAGGGAAAAGGAGCAGGAGGAAAAAGAAGCAGGAGGAAGAGGAGCAGGAGGAAAAAAGCAGGAGAAAAAGGAGCAGGGGGAAGAGAAGCAGGAGGAAGAGAAGGGGGAAGAGAAAGCAGGAGGGAGGAGGGAGGAAGAGAAGAGGAGGAAAAAAGCAGGAGGGGAGGAAGAGAAGCAGGAGGAAAGGAGCAGGAGGAAGAGGGGCGGGGAAGAGAAGCAGGGGAAGGAAGCAGGAGGAAAGGAGCAGGAGGGAAAAGAAACAGGAGGGAAAAGAAAAGGGGAAAAGGGCAGGAGGAAGAGAAGGAAAAGAGGAGGAAAAGGACAGGAGGAAAAAAGCAGGGGGAAGAGAAGCAGGGGAAAGGGAAACAAGAAGAGAACAGGAAAGGGAAAAGAAGCGAGGAAGAACAGGAGGAAAAAAGCAAAGGAAAAAGGGAAGAGAAGAGGGGGGGAAAAGAAGCAGGAGGAAGAGAAGCAAGGGGGAAGAGGGGGGGAGGGGAAGAGGGCAGGAAAAAGGAACGAAAAGAAACGAGAAAAAAGGAAACAGGAAAGAGGGGCAGGGGGAAGGGAAAACAGGAGGAAAGGAGCGGGGGAAAAAGGAAAAGGGGAAGAGAAGAGGGAGGGAAAGAGAAGCAAAGGAAAAGGGGGAGGGAGAACAAGAGGGGAAAAGGGCAGGAGGAAGAGGGCAGGAGGAAAAAGGCAGGAGGAAGAAAGCAGGAGGGGAAAAGACAGGAGGAAGGAGAGGAGGAGGAAGAGGAGCAGGAGGAAAGAAGCAGGGGGAAGAGACAGGAGGAAGAGAAACAGGGGGGAAAGGCAGGAGGAAGAGGGCAGGGGGAAAAGAAGCGGAGGAAGGAAGAGGAAAAGGGAAAGGGGGGAAGAGGAGCAAGAGGAAAAGCAGGGGGAAAGGGAAGCGGAGGAAGAGGAGCGAGGAAGAGAAGCGGGGGAAGAGAAACGGAGGAAGAGGGAGGAGGAAACGGAGGAAAAGGAAACAGGAGGAAGAGAAGCAGGGGGAAGAGGAGAGGAGGAAGAGGAGCAGGGGAAAAAAGCAGGAGGAAGAGAAGGGGGAAGGGAGCAGGAGGAAGGGCAGGAGGAAGAGAAGCAAGGGAGGAGGGAAGAGAGCAAAAAAGGGGGGAAAGAGAAACAGGAGGAAGAGGAAAAGGGGGGAAGAGGAGCAGGGGAAAAGGGAAAAGGAAGCGGAGAAGAGGAGCAGGGGGAAGAGAAGCAGGGGGAAAAGGGGAGGAAGAGAGCGGAAAAAAATAAAGAGGAGCAGGGGGAAGAGAAGAGGAGGAAGAGGAGCAGGGGAAGAGAAACGGAGGGGAAAGAAAGGAAGGGAAAAGGAGCAGAGGAAGGAGAAGGCAGGAGGAAGGGAGCGGAGGAAGGGAAACAGGGGGAAGAGAAACAGGAGGGGGAAGAGGGAGGAAAGAGAAAAAGGGGAGGGAAGGGAGCAGGGGGGAAGGAAGCAGGGGGAAGAGGGGCAGGGAAGAGAAACAGGGGGAAGAGGGCGGGGAAAGGGGCAGGGGGAAAGAAGCAGGAGGAAAGAAGCAGGAGAAAAGGGCGGAGGAGAGAAAAGGAGGAAAAAAAAAAAGAGGAGGAAGAGGCAGGGGAA